GTTCGAATCCCGTTGAAGCCCTGATTTTTTTCAGGCTTCTTCTTTCCAGTTGCTTAAATTGGAAAATTTACTGCGATGATCATTCTTCACTTTCAGTTTGGGGATTGTTGCTGTAATTGATCAGAGCTGTCAATTTAAAATTTACTTACCATTTCGGTGGAAGAAAATGTGAGCAAATAGGTCAAACATATCTGCCTGCAAGTTCAGAAGAAATGAAAACCCTGTGAATGGCCATTGATCATCAAACCTAAATTCTAGGAATTACAGGATTTCTGAAAGAGGCTAATACATGATAAAACATCAAGAGATCAATTATTACACCTGCTTCCAGTGTTACGTGCAGAGGTGACATCCTTCAACCATCTTTTGACATGCCATTTTTTGACATGCTATGTAAATAGTTGAAAGACTGTTTAACTGTGAAACTGGCAATTTTTCCAGTTATCAGTGGAACAAATGACAAATGAGTGATAATTACTGACCTCATATGCATGAAGAAGATTGTGGACTTTGCATGGTTCCCGATTTATGGGATCATTCAAATGATTTTAGTGTAGGCAATCTGCTCTCAATAGTGAGTTCCGGTAGAATTGGGCCACTACCACTCAGATAACATTCAAAAGATGTAAACATTCAAAACAGTCAATTTATCTCTCACAGAATGACTTCTTGATACCCCTTTGTGAAAGTTGAGTTTGACCATAAAGAAGTCCGTTGTGCTTACATTTTTGACGTAGGCTTGGTTACATAGCATGTCAACTCATGGCATGTCGAAAGATAGTCGCTATGCACAAAATACTGAAAGCGGACCATGTAAGATTGTAAAATATAATTTAATGTACAGACATGCAAAAATAGTGTTCATAAACATACAGGGGATAAGTTGATTTCATCGTCAGAGTCTTCACTTGTTAACCGCTTGTATGCGGAAGACACTTCTTGGAATTTCTACAACAGAAAATAAAGGTTTGTTAGAATGCACTTTAATCCAATTAAGACATTGTACACACAATTTGTTTCAATTTTAAACCAAAAACTGTAATCTTGCATCAATAAAATTCCTAGTTCCATAAAACACAACTGCATGCTCAAATAGATATACAGTACAGCGTACATGTACACAACAGTGTACATGTACATCTGAGATTTGATTGACTTGAAAATTCTGTTACAGATGAAACATATGTTGCTTTGGGATGGCATGTTCAAAGTGCGATTAAGATAACTCAGGACTAGCAAGAATTTTGAATTATTTTTGTAATTGGTGAGTGAGGTTTTCTATCCATAAAAATAATTATTGTCTGTCCTTCAATTTTAAGTTTCAATAACTGCACATAACATAAGCAGTGAAAAACGTTTCTGTAAGGGAAAAATTAATACTGATGTTAAATTTAATCCTGTCTTAGCATTAACCCACTTTCGAACAATACAGCCCCATACAGTAATTTTTATTTATTGCTGGTAGATTTAGATTGGTTATCACTTGCATGCAGGATATCTCTCTACGTGGATCTAAGCAAGCTTTTCGTCAAATTTCACACCTCACTCCTGCAGAGAATACTGCAAGAGTGGATAGAGAGGTACGCTGCACATGTTTCTGATCTGTTACCTGTTATGCAAAGTTCCCGACAATTTACCTTGGTAGCTTCTTGGCTGTTATTGTGCTTATCAGGGTGCCATCTCAGTGCAAGACGTTTGTAACTAGATCTAATTTCTTCATGACTGGCTCCTGAAAACATAGAAATGGTTCATGTATAAGAAGTTACCCTACAGTGTACGTGTAGGTATTCAATCCTGTATCGCTCAGCCAAGAGTCCCAAGTATTAAACATCTGCCGCTCACATGATAAAGTGAAACCCAGTTAATAAGCCACTGAAACTTGGTCACATTGAAGGCTCCTTTCCCTTTGATCGCCATGATAACTGCGATAAAGTGCTACAATTGCTCAAAAAAGGTTGGGTGATTGTTACAATCACAAACAACTTTGCATCGATTGTGAAGATCACATCAATTATTGAGATCTACAGAAAGCACTTTCCAGAGAATGTATCCATACATGTAGTTGCGATGAAACACACATCAGAATGAGCAGTGCATTGTAATTAGATCCAAGTCCTTTTGGGCATTCTCTTATTCTATAGCAATCATGGCAACCATATGGAAACTGGTGGCCGTGAGGATCTCTCAACATTTTCTGGAGTGATCACAACAATCATAGTCATTGTTGCAATCATAACGTTTATATGAAAACCAGCCTTGATGTTCCAGCCACACTGGACGGGTGCTTAAACATGGATTAGAGATAACATAAATAAGCTTACTGTTGAGCCAAAAGAAAGTAGTTGTAATTAATATAAAAAAGTTTATGAAGATATGATTGATTAAAATTGATCATGATCATTGATCATGATTGATAAAAAGTTAAGCTACCAAAACAAAACAAAACAAAAACAAGATTTGTACAAGCAAGATTTAAAACACATTAAGTACTGTACTTTGACATTTTCCTCCTGTTGTCATTTCCTTAGTTGATATGAGAGTTTGATAAGTAAACATGTTGCGGTTAAGGCTTATAACAAACAATCAAACGCGTAATACTATCAGTGTGAAGCAATATTGACAACATTCCCATACTTCCCGTTTAAGAATAACAATTGTCTGCTACTCTACTCGGAGATTCACCAAAACATAGACTAAAATTATCAAACACCGAAATTAAGCGGACAAAATTTTTGCGACATTGAGTAAATTGGCTTTAAAGAACATGTTTTTAGTTTATATTCTTACTGAACTGACAAAAACAATAGTTCTAATTTACGTCACGCAATTGCAAGAAGATCGAATGAACACGGGTCCAGAATCGAATTCAACACAACACACTTTTAACAAAAGCCCTAAGGTATAAGGCGTTTTGACACTAAGTGTCAGTTTAAAACACAAGATTGCAGATTATTCTTGATTACAAATATTTTAGCTTCCTGGAGAGCTATTGATCGCGAAATATAACTTGCATTTCAACAAGTGTTTGCCTCAAGATAAAAACAAATTTAGTACATTTGAACAGATGGTGAAGAAAAGAAAATACAAACCAAACGGAAGCTCTAAGATAGCGAAAGCTTCGCTCTTCGTAAGGCCCATTTTCAACGTTCTAAAAATACTTCGCTCAGAGTTTCGCTGCAAACAAGTACGCCATGTTTCCTAATTTTCACGTGTAAGATTTTGGCGCGAATGTAGAATTCTGGGAAATTTAAAGTCTCGTGACTCTGAGTCACGTGTTGTTGTGACCAGCGGTTAACTACGGTAGTGCCAGTGACTCTCCCTAAAAAATTGACACAAAACTGTATTTTGGGTTGGTTATTATTCCATTTTAAGGAAGTTTTCTCTGTGAAACATGGCTTCATTGCACTTGCCTCTGGATTTCTTTCTTTGCTAAGAACATGCTGATGCATTTGAAGTTGATTTTTCTGTCTTTGGTATGAAACTGGAGTCGATATGTTTTGAAATACTTTATGTGTAATAACTCAGGGAGATAGTTTGGCCAAATTTCTTACAATTGTTAATTGCTTCGTGGTCAAATGTAAATGCGATGGTTCATGCTATGGCTGAAACAAAATCGGGACCATTGTCACCAAAGAAGCCGGTCAAAGAGAAAATCGTGGCAATCTACGATGATTTTTTTAAGGTAAGTTTATATATACTACAGTAACATTTATTTCTCGTGAATGATATGTGCATTCGATTATCACCTCATATTTTACCATGTGCTAAAATTAAAGTTGTAATCATATACTTGTAAGACATGTACAGGATTATCTGATTATTTTGTTTCAAGCTTAAGGTTGCTAATCATGACTTATAACAACACCATGCAGTTCAGCCCAGCTCAAAACAATTACATTATTTTTATATCTACATGAACTTATAAAGTTTATTGCTATTTAATTTTTTCTATGCAATCTGCATGTATGAAGAGGAAGAGGGAAGGGCAAGGCTATTTTATTTTGTTACTTTAACTGTAGTTAGTTGTTTATTGTAGGGAGATGATCCATCTTGTGAAAGTCCAAATTTCTGGCATGAGTTTTTTCTCTTGAGGGTAAGTTGTTTGTTGTGTACTGGAACATCTGATCACTCTACTATATGGTATGCCTACTAGCTGTCATGAATTGAGCACTACTCTCACGCCTTCAGGTTCTCTTGAGACTAGGAATGGGAAATGTTCAAAACCTCTTTGTAAATCTTTGGAACTTTCTTCAAAAATCCTAGCAATCACTGATACAAAAATCATAACTGTGACTCAGAAAAAGTTGCCAGGTTTAAATAGAAATGGTCTGTTGTCCCAAGTGTATACCGTCCAGTGAAATTTCAGCTGGTGATACATTAAGTTCTCTTTTAGCTGATGAAAGGAAATTACATGTGGCTGATATTAATTATTAGAGGTTTCATTAAAGGCCGGGCACCGCGTAAATTGACCTGCTGCGAGAATGATTTTGCCAGCCTGATTTGACCATACATGTAGGGGAAAGTTTTTCTTATATAGAAGTTCAGTTCAAAAAGTTTTGCCTGCATGTAGCTGTGGAAACCAGTTGCCCTCCTTCTGAAAATGTTAATCCCCTGTGATATCGAGGTCTTAGCTAATAATGATACACGTATGACTACTGTACCAGCCCTGTATTTGTAAGCAGTTCCTTGGTTAGCTTGTATACATCTACGTACACTGTAGGTAAAAGCACTAGCAATTTGACATTGAAGCGTTTTTTTCACGAATCTTTTCAGGTCAATGCTGTTTACCTGGAACAGTGCATTGACAAGCTCAGTGAAGAGAAACTTATGGACGTAAAGGTACAAATTACAAGTACAATAACTACGAGGAAAAGTGTCCGTCTTTGGAGAATCGCTGACCAAAATTTGCCCATGTCCAACAAAACCAGAGCTGTGGTTGGATGTTATCAGTCCTGCCAATTTTTAAATCATCAATCACTGTTAATATAACATTTTGCATACAGATCATAACTTCTTGTTATTAACAGTTACTGTAATATTGTTCACTCCTTTTGCTAGAATTATGGACATTTGTGTGGAAGATTTTTTCTGTTCTATAAATTAGTGTGACCAAAATGCTTTAGTCAAATATAGTCAATATCTGTACTAATTTGTAAATAAAATTACATGTAGTTCATAACTGTTTCTTTCACTTTATGTTAGGAGAACATAAACCTTTTATTTGCTCAGTGCTGTATTGCATTGCGAGGAGATCACCAAATAAAACTTGTTAATGCACTGCAGGTATGTGATGAATGTGAAATTAATTTCCTTTTACAATTTATTATCTGTCAGAATACTTTTCTTAAAATTAATATGTCAATTGTTCAGAAAGCAGCAGATGTAAATCTCACAACTACATGTACACCTGTATATTTGTACTTTATTTTGGTTTTCTACATACCATCACATTGTTCAGGACTGGTCATGTCATGATGTTTTAACATTGTGGCTGTTAGTAATAATTAGATTTATATTATTAGAAGGCAGGAAATTATTAAATGACAAGTAGAGGTCCTTCTAGAGAGTTTAACTCCTTAAATCCCAGGTGTGGTCAGACTCCAAGTTCTCATCACAATACCAGTTCATGAACATTATCAAGCAAACAGGTGACAGGAATAAAGACAATTACATGTATCAACTGACTGATTATGTCTTTATGTACCATTAAATTCTCAGAACTGAACAAGTGATATTACTCAATTTTCAAAAATTGCAAAAAGTATTTGAAGGATAACAAACACAATAGCCTCCATTTGGTGTGAAAACAAGCTCTAATATTTGTCCTTGGACATAATTGTTATCTGTTCCTCAAAGCTCTCGGAAAACTGTTTGCTTCTTGAAACAGACAAATGTCCATGGACAAATATCCGGGCATTATTCACACCACATGGAGGCTATTGCTCATATACACGTATGTATACTGTGGTATTAAATTTCAGACGCTGTGTGCATTAGTCCGGGCTGTTTACCGAAAGAGATTAGGGGACCATGGGTTTGACGTCATTAACATTTTGATTGGTTTTGATGCTGCTGAAGCACAAATGCAGGTATTTTTCTATCATTTGTAAATTTGTAAACATTTTACTTTTTTTTGTAAATTTGTAAACATGATTATTTAATAATATTTAAATTGTAGATTTACCAGAATGTACTGGTATTCAACAAAATAAAATCAGACTTATTTTGAGTACATCATTATCATGTTTTGTACTGTCAGTGGTGAGTAATTGATTCATATGAAATGTCTTCTTTTTAGGGATTGTTAGAGAGTTTGCACACATTTCTAGTAGGGGACTATCCAGGTATGATGATGTACAGGGATAAATGTAGGATTTATACCATGTCATAAAAAATACAGTCAGTCAGAATACAGGAAAGCTGTTGTAAATTCAACTGTATTACATGTACATAAAACCTTCCCATCATGCGCCAGGTGTAAGTCCCACTGATTGTGTTGGCCAGTGAATTTTCTATGGCATAGTATAAAATAGGAGGGAGGGAGGCTGCAGCCCCCGCAGCTCTGGAAATTATGTGATTTTTCGGGCAAAACACTAATGATTCGGGCAGTGACACTTGAGAGAAAACATTACAAAATAATGCTGTTTGTGTGATTTCCAAAACTCGTAAATAAAGTTTCTAGTTACAGTGGTTACCTTTTTTAGACTTTTCTTTTAATAAGTTTTAGACTGTACTCAGATTGAGACTGTTGATAGAGTACATGTATGATTGATTGATCATGTAAACTTCGAATATAACTATTTTTGGAATTATAGCAGTTTCATTAGATGTGGGACTTGTGAACATTTTTGTTTTTCATGCAATTTGAGTTCGTTTGCATACCAATTTCAACACTCTTGCATTCGGGCATTGCAAAATTTTTTCAGGCAAGAAGGTCACCACCCCCAAGTCTGAAGGTGCCAGTACACCTATGATGAAATATGCAACTAGTCATGCAGTTGTATTTTTCAGTCGATGGGTTAATGGGCAATGGTCATCACAGCCGGTGATGGCCAGCACAGGCATCAAAGGTTTATGCATCAGTCAATTCCAGCAGTGCCCATCCCTCCCCCCCCCC